ATTATAATTATCTGAAGAATCAGATTATGTAGTAATCCAATTTATATGCATGAAATGCTTAAGTCATTTAGTTACTATAAAAATTTTTATCATTTTCGAACACCACAATCTTCAGTTTACTAGGAATGGAAATCTTAATGACTAAAGTTCAATTTCTTTCCATTTTAAATTACATTTGGTTAGAAAAACTAAGCACAATAACCAGTTGTACACACCGAAATACATATTTTTAAGCTGACAACTAAGTAAATTTATTGTATAAACATTATTTGATTAACTTACATATTTTTAAGTTTCTATCATTTACAGATATATTAGGACTAACAATCAATAGTGCATGGCATGACTGAATCCAAGATGTTATATTCAACAGTAATTATTAAGGTATATTTACAGGGAATCTCAAAAATCTGCACCATGAGTTTGGAGACTTTAAAACTGCACTATTCTAAGAAACAAACTATAAAGCTCTATGACTGCACTAAGACTTTTGGAACACGCCATATAGACAACATACCATGCCAAGTTTTTAGATGGCATGTGGTAATTTTAAAACATGATTCCTTTAATGTTAGTATGAGGTATATAATTTTAAAATTATTCTTTAGTATAATCTGGGCATTAAAACTACATTTCATGTTATTAGTTTCTTCAAATTGTGTAATTTGGATTTACCAAACTTTGAAAAGCCTTTATTCTTGAAAGCCTAAACATATAGATATGTAAGAACCTTAAAATATATGTATGCATTTTAGCATGTCCATTTGAATGAGTATGTTTCATTCATTTCTAAGATATTTTTCCATTATAGTATTCTATTCTCTTCTTTAAATATAACTCAAACAACATGAACAATAAAAATAACAAACTTTTTATTTTATATTTTAAAAGAACACTGTTAACAAAATATTTTCAAGTAGGTTTATGCATCCTCTATAGTTAAACACAATTTATTCTAATCCATTGTCTACAGTATTTAAACATAACTATTTAAAATTTATGAGATTACTTTAAAGAAGGCACATGGAAGATGATACATATTTTAAGCATATTCACTTAAATACACTAGAATGATAACTTAAAGAAATGGTTGGGGAGGGGAGAAGTCATTCAAAAATCAAATTATACAAAGCTAATTTCTCAAGAAAAAAAATCTATTTGATGCAATTACAGTATTTCAAGAACTCTAGAGGCATGTTCAGAGTTGAGAGGACTTCACTGTTTTTCTCAGAATTCATGTTCAATTTGCCCATAAAAATTTACTGTGTATATGCCATATTTTGTAACAGCCATCATTTAAATCTAAAGAAATAGAATCATTAGCTAAACAGGCTTAAATACATATATATATATATATATATATATATATATATATATATATATAATATAATATATTATACACACACACACACACACACACACATATATATATACATATATATACACACACACACACACACATATGTGTGTATATATATCATTTACTTGACTTATGCTTAAGTTCATTTCTTTATAAAAAATCTAAGCACACTGTAAATTAATTTGGAAAAAATCTAAATGGTGTTTTCATTTTAAATGGAAGTAAAACAGGAGACAGCACAGAATAACAGAAAGAGTCCTACTTCAGGAGTCAGAGGAGCTACATGCAAATGACACCTTTCACTTAATGTCTGTTAACTCTCATGCCTTCAGTTCCCTCATCTACAAAACACGACGGCAGAACTAGATGGTTTTTTAGGTCCTTTCTAACTATAATGCCAAGATCCTATGGGCTATGTTGTAACCATTTTCAAATGTTTAAATTGACTTTAGGTGCTTGATATATACATATGCACAAAACTAAGTTAACTGCAGTACTTGGTTGAATCTAACCAAAACTCACGTATGCTTTCTAGTCATACATGTTTCAGAAGATCAACTATTACTAAATTTATGGAGAAAGGTTAACTCTTCTTTTAAAATGTCACCTACCATCTTTCATAGAATCACAGAATTTGAGAACTGGAAGGGACCTCAACAATCATATATGAAGGGAACCTTCACCATAACATATTTGACAAGTGGTTATCCAGTCTCTGCTTGAAGGCCTCCAAACAGGGACAATCCACGACCTCTAAAAGCAACCAATTTAACTTTTGAAAAGTTCTAAAAGTTAGAAGGTTTTTCTTAACATCAAGTCTGAATTTGCCTCTTTGTAATTTCTTCTCACTGCTCCTGGTTTTCCTCTCTGGAAGCAGACAAAATAGCCCTTCCAAGACTTGAAGTTAGCCATCATTTCCCTTCTGAATCTTCTCTAGGTCAAGCACTCCTTGATTCCTTCAGCCAATCCTTACATGGAATTAAACCTTTTTAGCATCCTGTTTGCCCTTTTCTAGATACTCTCCAGATATTTTTATGAAACTGTGACATCCAGAACCAAATATAATATTCCTAGATGAGTTCTATCTAGGACAGTGTACAGAAGAACTATAACTTGCTTATTTCTAGAAGTTATGCCTCTGTTAAGGAAGCCCAAGAACACATGAGCTTTTTGGCTGCCACATCAGACCGCTGGCTCATACTTAATTTGCAGTCTACTAGAACACCAAGATCTTTTTCAGACTAACTACTGCCTAACCACGGCCCCTCTCTTATGTACATATGAAGCTATTTTTTTTTCAATCTAATTGTAAGATCTTAGTTTTGTCCCTCTTCAATTTCATCTTCTTGAATGCAAGCCATTGCTCTAAGAAGTCAAGATCTTTTTGGATCCCAACTCTGTCATCAAGCGTCTTAGATATTTCTTTTCCAATTAATGCCATTAGGAAATCTGATGAGCAGCTATGTACACTTTTATCCAAGTCTTTGATACTAACTGAGGCACTTCACTGGAGATTTCTTCCCATGTTGACACTGAATCACAATGACTAGTTTTTGAGTCCAGCCATTCATTAGACTGAATCTGATTGTATTAGCACATAGTCCTGATCTCTCCATCTTCTCAAAAGAATACAGAAAGATTCTTTACTGTTTACTTAGCTTAAATCTAGGCAAACTATAGGTACAGCATTCAAAATGACCTTTAGCAGGTCCATGTCTTAAAGGTAGAGAGGAAGACCTCTATCAGACAAATTCTTGCTTAACTTAATCTGTCCATCTGTAGGAAATATTTGTCATTTCTACCAAGTCACTGAATAGAATTTAAAGAATAGCTGAAGAGGATAGGGTGTGAGTAGCACAAATAATCCTATCTACTTTCTACTCTATTAGTCATTTAATATACCTTGTGTATGTTAGTGCAATTCTACATCAAGGAATGCTCCATAAATAGTTTAACAAATATACAAACTGATGGTTCAAATATATGTGAACATATTAACAACTCTACATTAAAAATAAAAATTCAAGAAAACAGTACTTTGTATCTCAAAGTTGGCCATCATCAAGCCATGTTATCACTGTGGATTACTGTGCCTCACTAACTGTAGATTTTGTCAGTAATTCTTGGGATTATCTGCAGTTCCTCACAGTACTCAGGCTCACTAACATCCAAACACTTCATGCCTGCAAACCTCACCCCTTGGAATCCCCAGCTTCATTCAAGGATCTGCTTAATTGCTCCCCCTCTACACAAGGCTTTTCTCGAACCCTCTAGTTGAGAGCACTCTGCCCCTATTAAAAAATTATTTTGTTTCTGCTTTGTACATATTTTATACTTATCTGTGTGCACACAGTCCTAGTTACTGTCTCCTCTACCTTCTTTCTCTCCCCTTTTTCCCCTAATAATACAAGCTACTTTTGCTTTTGTATCAACAGTGCCTGGCCTGCTGGATAAATGCTTACTGAAATGAAGTTAGAGTTTTCCATAGAACTGTTCTATTACTCCTAAAGAGTAATAATACTATACTCTCCTCAGAAGCTTCAATGAAACTCATCCTTAGCAAAAAATGGGAAACTTTAGAAAGTAAACTCCTAAATCTGTAATATATCTGACAAAGAATTCAGAACACAAATAGAAAAATGAAAAACAAAAAGAAAATGAACTATCTTTAGAATTTAAGGTACTGCAAGATATTTTAAAATGTGATTTTAAATTCAAAAGAATGCACATATAAATTTCTTCTAAAAATTAATTCTTTTCCTGAGGGTTTCTATTTTTGGTTCGATTCAACCAAAAGACATAAGCAATCGATATGCAAAAAGAAGCACATATCTAAATTTTCTCAGAAGTCCATTTCTAACTAACAACACTGTGGAATAAACTGGCAAGAAGTAGAAATAAAAGGCTGATAGGTCCAGAAAAATTTTTTTAATATCTAAATACTTTATAAATTTATGTGTTTCTATAATTCAACTGGAATGTTTCTATTAACTATCATTAAATATGAAGTTATAATGAGATGCAGGTTATGTCTATGCAAATGTATTTAGATAAAAAAGCAAAAAATTCAATCATCTATACATTTTAATAACTATTCAAAATTCATGGATTATTGGATTATCAGAAGTATCTGAAAGATGGTGGCAGTTTCATCTTTTAAAAAAATTTTTGTATTAGACAGTAATAATTTCTTTCTTTTTTGTTTTTTATTCAAGAATAAGAGCAGGATATATTTTGAAATTTATTTTTAGAAGCCAAGGATTTCTGTTTTCAAAATCTACAAACAGTGCATTAAGTTTTTGGGAAAAAAAACTTAGGGGATCAGATTACATCACAGATTGCAAATATATATGGACATGCTACTTTATTTTGGTAGATGTGGCACACTACTATTTTGGTTTTTCAATACTGATGTTTATTGAAATACTACTGAATACTGAGAAGTAATAAATTAAGGCAAATTTTAAGGTTATAAAGCAAATACATAAAAGGTAGATACATTTTCTTCATTTTCTGCTAAGTAAAAAAATTTACAAAACTCCCTTGCCACTACTAATTTATATCACTTTGAAATGAATTATTTAATGAAACATCTTTTTATGTGTGTGTACATGTATATAAGTGTGTGTGTGTGTATTATATATACACACTTTTTTTTTTTTGCTAAGCTGCTAACCACAATCAGGAATATTTAAAATGGGTGGTGTAATTTGTGGCATAATAAAAAAGATGACTGGACTCTAAATCAGAAATGGGTTCTAATGCCAGATCTGTGTTGTGACTTTTGCTAAGCATCTCAGTTTCCTCCTCTATAAAATGGGAGGGTTTGATTTCTAATAAGGTCCATTCCAGCTCTAAAATTCTATGGTTCTATGATTTAGTCTTTAAAAAGATTAAGGTGTGACCTTCTCTTTCTCAGCAAACGGGTAGTAGACTTATATTAGGACAGAATGTTGTATACGTTGTCAGTAAAGGTCACTTGTATCTGGTGTTTTTGCTTAACTGTTTTTCTTTGTTACAAGGGAGGATTCAACTGTGGGACAGAGAAGGGCAGTAGTTCCAAAAATGACTGCAATGTAAAAAGGCATCAAAAAATTTATTTTTTTAAAGAGAATAAAGTACGAAAATCAGTGTCGTATAAAGCAACTAGCTCTTATTAGATTATCAGAACACTTAAAAATATTTTAAAAGATTATTAGAAAATCTCTAATTGGCATTTTCCCTCTCTTAAAGATTGAGTACTCCAATGAAAAAAAAGTAAAAACGTCTTTAAGACCAGCTATTAAAACTCCTCACAAATAAAATTCAGGAGGAAATTTTAAAATGTGTATTACAGACATATGACACAATCAAAAGATCCAAAATAAGCTTTTCTAAAGAGTTTTCTTATAATAGTGGGAAATTAGTATTTTAAGAATATGTATTATGATCTAGCACATTGCCTTATGGAACTGACTTTGTCAAAACCATTTAATCAAATAAATCAGATGAAATTTTCAGATTATTCAGACAAAAAAGATAAATATTTAGAGACTGTTGTATTCAGGAAGATCACGTCTTAAGCGTATTGCTCTCAGCCTCTCCACTTTGATTTTTGCTTTTAGAAGCTCTTCTTCAAGCTGCTGTCTTCTCTTTAATCCATCCCTCTTTTCTTGAACATACAGTCCAAATTTTCTTTGATTTTCTAAAATTATCTGATGTTCCTCCTTCATCATTTGCAATGTTTGTGGATCATATCCAAATAATGGTCTAAAATGTTCTCCACTTTCATGTCTAAAAAATTCATCTCTCCTTGGAAGAGAAGATGGCGACAATGTCATTCTTGTATCAACAGAGGAAAGCGAAGGTGAAGATCTTTCCATAATACGGACCAATTCATGTTCTTCTCTTTGCTCTAATGTCTCATTCTGTTGAGAATCTACAACTAGTGAAGGAGGTGGCTTAATATCTTCTTCTTGGTCCAACTCCACTGTAATAGCAACAGGATGGTGATCCAACATCACCTGTGGCAAACTGGTACCTGCATGCGCTTCCTTATCCACGTTTGCACTAAAGCACACACACAAACATACACATCAAATGAAATAAAACAAAAGCATATTTAGAGTACATATTTTCCTAAATCCTATAAATTCTTAACATTTAAAGCTACTTCAATTTCAATTAAAATACTAATAAACAAGCATATTCTAAAATTCTAATCTCAGATTTAGACATTATATGAGAGAAATGGTTACTTCTCTCTTGTATTTAATAACTGATTATTGTATTAGGACCAAGGTTTTTCCCCTTTTCTACTTCCTCATCCAGAAACCAATCAGTGTGGGAAATCTCTTAAAGATTTACTCAGTCTAAATTTGGATAATTCTAAATTCGAACTATTGGGTGCATTCCTCCTCATTGTGTTTGCTCAGACAGATCTGGGAAGTGTTGATTCTCCCTTTTGTCAGACAGGGAATTGATAAGTCCCTTTGACCAAGATTTGGGTGACCCAAGTCACATACCCCAAGACGCTCACTGTAATATTCATTTTTTCATTAATTGTTAACCAATCAGTATTGATTGGAACACCTGCTCTTCCAAGAGCATATAAGCCCACTACCACAAGGGTGTTTGGTGTAACAGAGATGGCCAAATGACCATCCTTTTATTAATAAATGTGCTGGCTTTATTAATAAAATAATTAAATTACCCAGAAATTTATGTCTTTTGAACCTTTTTAAACTTCACATGTGTTTTTATCTAAAAGTCTATGAAAATCATGTACCATGAAGCAGAGGAAAATACAAATTAAAGCCACATTTTTAAATGCATAAGCTCAAGGAATAAGACGAGACTAGCAGGCTGATTCCAAGGGCCCCATGACTCCTAGTCAGTGGAGGGTCACACGGTCTGATACACACGGCAGTTTAATGCTTTCTAGCTCTTCAGATGTGTGTTTTCTCTACTTCATCACCCTACATCCTCAAATTCCTCTTCCTATTCCACAGAACTCTGCTCTAAGTCAGAATTAGACTACCTATATACACTGGCCTAAATTGTACTAGGGTAAACATGAATTCTGGTAGGAAAGAGCAAGGGATCCCTTTATATGCCTGATTTGGGGGCTTGCACGTTAGATTGGCAATATTTACTCTATTTGACTAGAGAAAAATCAAGGCAGCTTTTATAATTTCAGAGGACAGCAAAGCATCATGCTGCCATTCAGCTCATGCGATTTTTGAATTACAAAAGATCATCTTGTCCAAACTTCTCATTAAACAGATGAAAAAAATGACACAGAGAGGATAAGTCTCTTGAACAAGGATATAATGAGCTAACATTTGAACAAGGGTCCTCTGATTCCAAACCTATTGCTCTCCCCAATATATCATGATTTCCACAGCCATCCTATTTTTTTTACCCATTAATTTAATGCTATTTAGTGACTAGCAACTTGTAAAAATACAATGAAACAACTGGGGGAGGGGAGAGAGGTATTATTATAAATTTGTATTATAGTATAAAAATTAAAATAAACATTATATCACAAAGTAAATATTCCTGAGGAAATATAACTATTGAAATATTAGTTTCTGTCAAAAGAATGGCATCTATTAATTACGAATATAAAGTTTCCCAAAATTTTAATTTTAAGCTATTAACATTTAAAAATATACTAGACTTTTGGGATACCATGCATACAGCAATCCAGTAATTTAATTCTTATCACCAAGCTGGTGAAAGCTCCAACAATTTCTCATCTAAATCTTATATCTCCCTTTCTACCCCTGCACCTAAAGAGTACAGATGCTTTTTAAAAGTTTGTTCAAAGGAGTGAAATATGCCCCAAATATCCTGGTTCTTCCATCTGTTTTCTTGATGAATTACTCTCCTGTCTCATTTCCTTTTAAAACTAAAAAGCATAAGTGTAAAACCCTTGGGAAAGACTTTAATGGAATTAAAAATTCAAGTTTACCAGGTTTACAAGTTTATCATTGATTTGAAAAAAAAAGTTAAATTATCTGCTTAAGAGATACAAACAAAATAAAGAATATGAAAGGTACAATATTAAGAAAAAATATTAAATTTGAGAGCTGAATATTGGTTAACTAATTTCATCCATGAGTACTTCCTACATAGATGCAAACCAAGCCCTTCCTCACTTCAGTTTCACAGTTTTGTGAGTAGTGGAGGTGCGGGGAAAGTCATGATCTAATGGTCAATCTTCTGTTAAAGATTGAACTTTTCTAGGCTGGTTCTCAGAAAACAGACTCCCGGCATAATGCTGAGCCACAATACACAGCTAGGCCATAAAACCCTTTCCAGCTTGGAAGAATATTAAAGACTAAAAACACAGGATAACCTCTACGATTGGGTCTTTAAGGCAGGGCTGACCCAACACATCTTTTTAAAATGAAAATCTTATGACTATAGACAAAAAGTTTCTATCTCTTGGAACCAATGATGTTTTTTATTTTTTTCAAGAGCTCAGAGCCATTATTTACTAGCTGTATGGCCATGGGCTAATCAATTAATCTGTCTCAGCTTGATTTCTCATCTCTAATAGTACATGAAGCACTGCGCTTAGAGTCAAGAATACCTAGGTTTGGATCCTGCTTCTGATATTTAGTAGTTGAGTGACCAGGGATAAATCACTTAACATCTCCAAGCCTCAGTTTCCTCATATATAAAATGAAGATAATATTATATGAAGTACCTACCTGAGAGTACTGTTAAGAAGATCAAATAAGATAATGTATATTAAAATACTGCACAATTGTCAAAAGTTGTGAGGAAAGTGTTTTATCAACCCCAAAGCACTAAATTACTTGTAATTCAATCTATGGGTTGAAGGAGCTTCTTCAAACACCTCTTTGCTGTCTTTTTAACATTTCATTTTTAAACATCACCTTCTCCAAAACTGAGATAAGGGAATAAAGATATAATTCAAATCACTAAGAAGTTTGCCAAAAATCTAGATGGGGAGAGGTGTAAATTACTAAAAAATAAGCTTTTGGTATTACTGTAGATAGTTTAACCCTTGTCACACCTGTTCCCAATTAGGTATATTAATCTCCATTAAGAATAAACATTATAATCCCAAGTAAATCAACAGTGTCTTACATAATCCGATATTCCATTTTGGTCAGAATATTGCAAAAAATCATAATGAGGGCAAAAATATTCCAGAGAAGGTCATTCACTGCGCTACAGCATAGATTTCTGATATTCAAAAAAAAGATTTTTCTGAGATGCAAAATACAATAAAACTGTAAATCCATTAGTATTAATATGATTAAAAAAGAGAAATGTCAATTTTAGAAAAAAGGAACTTAAAAACCAAAGAATATACAAAACAAATTGTATAAAAGTAGTACAGTCAGACATTCTTATTCATAGTGACGTTTTTCCCTCTGAAGAATGAACAGGGCACTTGATAAACTCAATAGGCAAGCTATTTTAGAGTATTACTGAATCATTAACAGTTAAGACCTGGAAAAGACTTTCAAGATTTTAATTCAATATCCTTGTAGATAAGAAAATTCAGAACTAGAGATGTTAAGTGACTTGACCAATGCCACAAAGGTATTAATGGCAGAGCCGGGACTAGAGTCCAGGTCATTTGACTTACAGGCTCTTGTTTTAAACAAATAAAAAAAGTAATAAAAAAATATAAATAAGTTTATAGATTTATTTTAGGGCATTCAGAAATTAATTAGTAACATTTTAAGTTGTTTAAATTGTATAATAAATACCTATAATATTAAATAGGAAAAATCTTAAGGGTTATTAATATTACCCAGGAACCTAAAAGAGGTCACCCTTAACAGAAGAGAAAAGTGAACATAGGTGGAAAGAAGAAAAAATGAAATGTAGAAGATGATAGCAAAAAGTACAACATATACATTGTACATAGTAACAAAGTACACAGTCTTTTAAAGGCATGCTCTCATAATCTCACTCAACCTAGGAAAAGTTCATATACTTTGAACATTCGTTATAAAGAATGCATATCAACTAACTAGTTTCTCTAATACACTCAGATCTCTAGAAAACATTAAGTGACAGGCAGTATGATGAGGTGGAAAAAGCACTGGACTTGGAATCAGAAGAGCTGGTGTTTATTACATCTCTATTACTGATTAGCTAAATGACCTTGAACAAGTCACTTCAACTCTATAGGCCCAAATTCCTACATCTATAAAATGGAAATAATCATAAACTATTTACCTCCTCGGGTAAGTAAAGGGTTCAAATGACCCACTGTAGATGAACCTTTATCATTAAATTATATTTCACTGGGCAGTTCAAAAGGTAAGCTAGATGAGGGTCTGGGGCCTGTGAGTCAGATTCCCTTTGGGGCAAAGGGCGAAGATCTTGGCTTGGGCCCTGCCCCCATCAAGCTGACACATCCATTTACAATTCATTCCCATTAACTACACTTTAAGAAAATATATAATCAACCCAAATCCAAGCTTTATATATATTTTTTCCTTGTAATAAGGTTGCAAACAAGAAACTTGTACAAAGACATTGTATATATAAACTCAAGAGACCCTTTCCCCTAGAATGATAGAAGAAAGTATTTTGATAATTAGTTAGTGGAAAATTCCTATAAATTTCCTGATTGTATGTTAATTTTGAAAGTACATGTCATGCTAAGATAGAATAATCAGCAATCATTCTATTTGTTTTAACCAATAGCACCATGAATTAGATCACTCACACCTACGTTCTAGTTTCCCTTAACTATTTGTCCTGTATTATCAACTAATTATATAACCAATATCTAATTGTACAAGTGAGTTTTTTTAAACATCTCTCAGCGAAGTACAAAAAACAAACTGATATGTTTGGTTGATAATTTTTTCTTCTAGCCTCCTTCTTAACTTAAAAAGCATTTCACTAGCTAATAACAATTCTAGAATTATAAAGTCTATACAAAGAAGAAGAGCTCTGGAAGTTTTATTTGGAGGATGTTGGTTGCTGAATGAATGAAAAGTCACACCTCTTAAAAGGAGTCCACATCAAATGCAAACGAAAGCTACCCAATCAGAGCAGAATGCTAATAACATTGACCTTTTAGCTTTCATACTATTTAAACTTGGATTTGTTAAGTTAATGTCCTTGACGATTCTCAATGGAGTGCCTAAGTGTACAAATTTAACCAAAACTGAACACAACTGCCACTCACCCTAAGAAAAAATAAACTGCTTATAGAGATATTATTACAAGTTGGAAGTTTAGCATAGTTAGAAAGTTTAAGAGAAAGCTTTTACACTTCCTTTTTAATATGTGACAGATCAAAGTTAGTCACTTAATGAGTGCTAAAACACAACAAAGAGAAATTATCAATCTTAAGGTAGAAACAGTAAAAAAAAAACAAAAACTCTCCTACTTAAAGTGTTAAAGCTGGTTAAAAATTATTCACACTTTTTCTTTACATGTAAAAAAATGTTTTCATTACTCACTTAAGGTTGTATTTAAGCTGTTTTCAATTAGAAGTATTTTAAATATCCAGAGACAACGATAATTTATGAATATCATTAGGAGGTATTAAAGGGTCAGTTTATTTTCTGTGACACCAAATTGAAAATTTTATTGAAAGTTACACGTAAAATATAGCTCATGTGAGCAATTTGCCTAAAATGAGCAGTGGAGGTGGAGGGATAACTTTTTTGAACCTATATTTAAGTAATTCACTGTTAAACAAGATAAAGGATATGGGTTGCAATCACAAATTTCATTCTATTTATTTTTCCAATCTCTCACTACTTGGAAACTGGACAAAAGTAAACATAAAGACATAAAAATAAATTTAATGTAAAGAAATTTACAAGTTGACTTTTTTGCAATTAACAAAGAAAAACAAAGGCACCATTTCTCCATCTGTAGTGAAGCTTATTATGCACATCTGTATCTCAGTACGACAGCAAAGCAAAGCTCAAAAGATAGGAGGCGCCATAATTTTCCAGTAAAAAAAGTAAAATAAATCTTACCTTTGTATACTGTTCTTGTCTCTTCCTAGGCATACACTGGAAATCTGGGGAATCATTTCCACAACTTTCTTGGTTGGCTCAGAAATACTGCTCCTATGATCTAACAGAGTCTCCTTTTGCTGCAAGAGCTCCTGTTTGGCGTATTCTTTGAGCCTTTTATAGAGGGTACGCAGGCCTTGTGCTGTACGAGGAGGGCGATCTACTCCAATAGCATTATATTTATCTGCTATGATATCCCAGCATTTGTTCTTTTCCACTATTACTGAATGTTTATTAGTGTGCTCTTCAAGAATTTTAACATATGGCTTCACCAGCTTTAGCAAATCAAGCTTTTCAGATAATGTAAAATTAGAAGATCTAGCCTTTCCAACCATTGTTATTTCCGAATTAAGTAGGCAGTTTCTGAAACCACCATGCAGTCTCTGGCTCTGCTCAGCTCTTTTTCACAAACAGAAAAAAAGATCAGGCTTAACTAGGCTAGCCTCATTTAGGCCCACGCCTACAGGGGAGGGTTTATTAAAATTCCTCCAGCTTAAGCTGACGCAGGTTCAGGAAATCTGCTTAAGCCAAGCCTGACCTACATAAGGCTTTTCACTGAAGAAGACAGGAAGGCACAAGCAAAACACACTTGTGTGTAAAGAGAACAGCCCTAAACAGGATTTAATACACAAAGGTCCAAAGATAAGCATGGTGCCCTTCTAAAAATTACCTAATTTAATGAGAATATCAGTTTCTCACACATGTATATCTGATAAACTGAAACTGCATTGTAGCTTTGCTTTAGTGAAGACAAATGCAGTAAAAACTGTTTTGTGCTATTTATTTGCAAACACAGGAAACAGAAGAATGAAAAACTAAAGAGTGGCGTGTGTAGAAAGATCCCTAACAGAGCCCCTGATCACTGTTCCTGAGCTGCTGTTCTCTCTTACATTATTTGCATAATGCTAGTCCCGCTGTCAATCATGAATTGCATATCCTCTAGCTAGTTAGGTTACACCCAGACTCAGACTTCACAGTAAAGCTAAGCTTCCCCTCCATTTTCCAGTCTACCTTGTCCCCTTCTACAGTTTTTCTTAAAATGTAAAAGGTTTGATTGGAAATACAATCTAAAAATTGAAGGTGGTAAGATTTCCTTTTGTTTGAAGAATAAATTATTCTTACTACAATGAAACTCTTAAATATATGCTAATATGCCTTATCTTATGTAAAATCACCATTCACTCTGAGACCTGGCAAAATCAAGCTTTAAGACTAAGCAATAAAAAAATAACAGAAAAAGATATTAGTTTAGCTGTGCATGCACGAGTACACACACACACACACACACACACACACACACACACACACACACACACACACACTAGACCAAAAAAGGAAAAAGAGCAGTAGCATCAGTTTGGCACACTGGTTTGTCCATTTGAATTCCAGTTTGAACAAAGCATAGTCATTAAACTTATTTTTTCTAGGATTACAGAGATTTCCACATCCTATTCACTATATCTGCCATAACTTCCCAGAAGGTCTTATTAATTCTTTTGAGGATTAGATATAAAGACAGAAGCAACTCATAGCATCTATTATCACATTAGTCATATTCATTCGATTGAGAAGCATTTATTAAATGCCTTCTATTGTGCCAGATACTGGGGAAACAATGGCAAAAGTAAAACATTCCCTGCCCTCAAGAAGCTTAGATTCTAAGGAGGAAAGAGGGAGGAGAGATAATATGCTACAGCAAGTTATTCAATAAAGCTGTCTGATTAAAAAAAAACCTTTTATTTAAGTCTCTATATAAAGGAGAATAAAGAGCTAAGGAAATAATATTTTATAGTCTCGTCTTCCTTGAATAATGAATACTACAAAAGTTCCTTCCTGAATATCAGAGAATTTCAACTTTTTGGACATTCTAGGAAAGCTGAGATCAGGGAACTTACAGTTTTAATGTGAATGAAAAGAGAAAGAGTGAGAGAGCAGTAAAGTTGTTTGCAAGATGTTAGAATCTATAAAGAATTGTTTTAGGAATTCTACTGTTTTAGGAAATCTACTGCTCCAGGTCCCTCTTAACAGGGTTGAGAAACAAAGAGCAACATTTTCATTCAGGGAGGAAAGCAAAATGACATAAGTGGTTTGAGGTTCTCTGCACAATGTAACAGACCCATTATACCTCTAACATTGACTGTTACCATTAAAACAGAATATAAATGTAGTAGTAGATAAATGTAAAACAGCAATGTTATTTTTGTTTCTGTTGAGTGGTAGGTTTGGGCAATCATCCATTGTCCACTAAAGGCTATAAAAACCTACTGTAGCTATTTGAAAAGTACTTCTTTATCTATTTAAAATACCTATCACTAAGTTCATTCACCATATAATAGCACCTCCTACTGAAATCCACTTAGCTATGAAGCAAGTCCTAGTTTAATCTATTCCCTCAAACCACTTATGTCATTTTACTTTCCTCCCTGAAAGAAAATGTTGCTCTTTGTTGCATTTAAATATCCCTTTCTCAACCCTCTTCCTCTCCAGTCCTCTACCTCATATTCTGCCCAAAGTAAGGTTAATTTTCATGGCCAAAACCTACCTAGTTAACTAGGAGATTACAGCTGGATTTCTCTCTCAGAGACCATGCCTTGAACCCAATTCACTCTGGATCTCACTGACTGGACACCACTTAATGGTTATTTTTTTGGGCCTTCCAGGCTCAGAGTGAATATAAATAGTAACTGTTCCTTCTTTTGGCCAGCAACCCTGAGGGTCTTCCCCTCCCTGTTAGGTGTTCTTGTTTGTTTATTTTAAATTAAAGGGTCCATGCCTTGACTCACTAGTTAAACAGGCCTATTCACTGAATGGGCATTGCCTTGCTCAAAGTGAGCACCTAAAAGGACCTTAGCTTAAAATGGCCAGGGTCTCTCTCATAGCATCCAGTGGTCCTGATGAATATCTAGCCATTGGACCCAGATGGCTCTGGAGAGAAAGTGAGGCCAGTGACCTTGCACAGCCCTCCTTCACTCAAATCAAAGTCAAGTCATGTCATCATCTCCCTGATGTCATGATCCTCTTTGAGAACAAAGGACAACAACAAGAAGAAGTGTTTTTCCATAGAACATTCAACTTGCAGTGGTTTAAATTTAGCGATTACTTCTCAGGAGCGGACAGAGTACTAGGCCTGGAGTTAGGAAATTTGACCTCAAACACATAATAGCTGTGCGACCAGGGACAAATCACCTAACTTTTGTCTGTTTTTTTTCCTCAACACAAAAATGGAGATTAGCACCTACTTCACAGGGTTGTTGTGAAGATCAAATAAGATAATATTTGTGAAGCACTTATCACGGCACCAGGCACCAGGCACAGTAGATCGTTTAGTCCAATCTAAGCATGAATGAAAGACAATGAACCTGAAAACAAGCAAAACTAAGGTTGAATACTTGTTAGGCCATTACTAGCCTTTTTACCGGGGCCAGTATTTAATCTCTCTTGACTCAGTTTATCCACCTTTTTTTAAAAGTAGAAATAATACCTATACTGTTGTTAGCACTTAGCACAGAATTTGGAATACCATAATAAGCACTTGACAAATACTTATTAGCTTTTGACTGTTTCCTGGAATAATTGTGGTGGGAACAAAACACTTTATAAGCTATCACACACTATACAGGGTATTCCAGAAGTCTTAGTAAAGTTTTAAGTTTTAATACTTAAGTAGCTTCTTAAAGATACACTAAGACTTCTGGCACATCCAGAAATATAAATGTATAAATGTAAGTTGTTATTATTATCTATATAAATAGATGTCAAATTCTGTTTAAATATTGTCACTGACAAGAATTCATTATCTCCAAACAGTTCATTCCATTTTTACTTCAGAATGAACCAAATTTTGCTTCCCTTTCATTTCCATACAATGATTCTGGTTCTTACCTCTAATAAGACTGAAAAGGATAAGTTCAATTTTTGACAGGCTAGCTCTTCAAATATTTGAAGAAGATTGTGTGTCTCCTTCTAATTCATTTCATGCACAAGATAACCCCACTTTCTACAGTTATTCCCTAAGAAAGGTCTGTGTTCCCTCACAATTATAGTTACCTTCCATTTGTCAATGTTCTTAAAATACTATTCCCAGAACTAAAAATATGTGGCTTAAGCAAAATACTGTGGGACTATGGTTTCCCTTGTTCTGGATCTTCTAATGTTATTATTGTAGGTTAAGTCTACATCAGCTTTTTTGACACCCACATAACAATTCTGACTCATAGTAAGCTTGCAGTTACCAAAACTCCTAGCCACTTTTCACATTAGTTAATCTAGTTCTTATCTTTTATTTGTACAGTTCATTTTTAAAACTAGGTTCAAGCAGGCAGCTAGGTGGCACAGTGGATAGTGCACTGGCCCTGAAGTCAGGAGAACCTGAGTTCAAATCCAGCCTCAGACCAAACACTTGACACTTATTAGCCGTGTGACCCTGGGCAAGTCACTTAATCCCAAATGCCTCACCAAAACAAAACAAAACAAAAAAACCTAGGTTCAAGACTTAACATTTTATCCTCTATTGAAATTCATCTTGTGCATTGGTCCACTGTCAATGATTCCCCCCAAAAATTACCATGGATATACTATATATGATATGATATGATATATGATATGATATCATATCATATCATATATCATATCATATCATATCATATCATATTATATTATATTACATTATATCATGTTGTCTACTCCAATAAAATGTAGGCTTCCTGGGAACTACAAAAATTTCACTGTCATCTTGGTACCTCAGTACCTAGTATAGTGTCTGGCATAAATATGTCCTTTACTAAATGCTTGTTGACTAATGATGATGATGATGATGACTGCTGGAATATATATAGCACTTTACACATTAACTTATTTATACGATCCTGAAAGGCAGGTGCTATAGTTGTTTCCATTTTACAAATGAGGACACTAAGACTGATAGATATTAAGTGACTTGACCATGATCTTAAAGTAAGTACAATAAGGTTATAAGATAGGTTTAGAAACCAAGTCTTAACTACAATTTCAGCACTCTGTGTATTTCATTTCTAATTTTGATTGATTCTGAGCTTCCCTAAACTGGTCTGCCACCTCACAAATTTGAGCAAATAAAGCTTGTGTGCTGTAGGTAAACTTTAGCTTAAACTAGCTAGACTAAACTGACTAGGTGACTAATTATTCCTATCCATATGGATCTTTAAAACACTTTCTATTGCTGACTCCTACATTAATTCCCCCTCAAATCCCTAGTGTTTTTCCACAGAATATTCAGTGGTTTAAACTTAATGATTAAGTGATTACTTCTCAAGAGTGGACAGAGTACTAGACTAGAGTTAGGGCACTATTTTGAGACTTCTTTAATGAACTTCTCCACCAAGCCCTAGGGACAATCATTATTGGGATAACCTGGTCCTCCAGCAAGAACTCATCAGCTTCGGTACTGTACCTCTGATCACTTCCCTCTGCCTTTTTGATTGAAA